GCTATGAATTCAAGGCCTTTTACAGCCATCTAGAGGTTGGCCTCCTTTAAGTGCTTTCCAGCTTATGAAAGTCAAAAGCTTATCTGGAAAGCTGTGTCGCTCCTAACTAAACACAGTTCTTCAGATGTCTGACATATTGCACTGTATTCTTCAACAGATACTGAGTGTCTTCTCTGTATGGACCCTCTGCTAGGTGCTGAGCCTGTGAAGGCCAAAATGAAATGCTCTCTGCATTCAAGGACCTTCTACTATCTTAGTGGGAACAACATGTGCTCTGATCATGAGTAATGATCCCCTGCTCTGGGTTTATATGACCCACATCCACTCTTAGAGGCTGCTCAAAAATCACTCTTTTGGACTCATTTTGCCCTCCTCCCCCAGTATTCCTGGGAACCTTAGAATATAGCTTTGTGTCTAAGTTTTGTCTCCACCGATATGGGCAAAAGGCCCCCCGATCTCTCAACCACTTATGCTAACAAGTATCAAATATGACTAGGATTTTTTTCACTCCACAGAAAAAAAGCAGAAAAACCCCAAGTGCTTATGGAGTTGCTATGAAAATCAAATGAGATACTGTGTACCAAGTGCTTTGCAAACCATAGTGTGCTCTGTAAATGGCAACTGGCATCAAGTAGTATTACTCTGTCTGAGGTGCTGCCATGTGACCATCTGGAGATAGAAAGATTGTCCTCAGCTAGAGGGCGCGTAGGTTTTTGGGCTACTTATTTACAAGCCTCAGAGATTCATTGTCAGAGACAGTCTCTATTTGCAGTTGGTAGTAATAGGTAAATTCATGGTTATCTACTCTTTGAGTAACAAGTATTTTGTAAATGCTAAATTCTTAGACGAGGCCAGGTTCTAGATGCTTATGGAGAAAAGGTATATGAGTCCTCAGTGTTATAATCTTAACATCAGATCTTTTTTTGAATTCAATTTTATTTTCAGATACACATTTTCACTCCCATTACCAGCTCCTCCTCCCTCCCACTGCTTGAGAAAGCAAGAAAAACAGAGCCCCCATTACAAACATGTATAGTCAAACAAAACAGTTCCCTGAATCTGCAATGTCTCTAAATAAAAAGTCTTGATCTGCCCTTAGAGTCTTTCCATCTGGAGGTAGGTAGCATTTCAATCAGATTTTAAATGTGCAGAGTATCATAAGTCATCTAGCACAACCCCTCATTTTACTAATGGGAAGACAGGGTCAGGAAGTTTCTGTGAGTTCTTCTAGGTCCCAGGTACTGCAGATAGCAGAGCCAGAATTTGCACCCAGGTCTTCTTACTCAAGACCTAGAACTCTTTCCATTATACCATGTTGCCTCCTCCAGTTCTCCCAGAAACTGTGGCTTATAGGATGGTGCTGGGGATAGATACAAGGACAACCTATGGTGCACTTTGCCCAGAAATCTTTTGAAAGAAAATTCTTATTGAGCATTGCTAGTAAGGTGGGACGCTAAAATTAGAGATATTTTCTAGCCAGGAAGTCATGAGATAAAAAGGAAGAAAGCTCAAATGTGGGAAGCTGTGGGAAATCACAAGAGCTCCAGAACATTGGAATCCTAGGATTAGGCTCAGTCATCCAGGCGTAGACATCTCTTCCTCGCACTGAGCATCTGGCCTTTGCATCAGGTCACAGATGCTCTATGTTTCTGCACCAAACAGGGCAGCAGAGCCTATAGGGACGGACTGCCTTCTACTTTTCTGCTCAGATTAGCTTATTGAGCTTAATTAGATAAACAATTGTGGCTCAGCACTGGCTCATTCATTACCTTAATTACCAATGTGAGATATTGTAGACTGATAGGAGTTCCATTAAACATGTCACTTTTCATGTGTCCAAACAGGTGTTTCGTAGGGGATTTAATGCCCTTTCCCTAGACATCAACAACAGATGTTGGGTTGTTTTTGGTTGTTGCTATTTTCCTCATTTGGCCAACGTGGAAAAATGCATTAGCACCAAACTGTAGAGGTAAAACCTGAGGGAAAGAGGAAAGTTCAAAAAAAACCACATGCTTAGTAGGAGACTTTGTGGAAGTATTCAGGTTTGATCACAAGAGAGGCACAAGCATGGCACTCTTTACACTGTATAGGGTGGTAGATTAAGCTGATTTCAGGAGGGAGGATTCAGATGTTTAGATAAATCTAGGCCTAATATACTGATAAAATCTATTTCCTCTCTTTTGATTACAATGTTTCCTGTATTAGGCAAGGATCTATTCTTGCTTGATATTGATCAGCAACTTCAGGAATTTTCCACTTGGTTTTGGGCTGCAAAGTACCCATTGTCCATTTGCCTGTATCCTGGACTGCAGGGTAGCTCTAGGAACCACTCTGAGGATTCAGGACTGGATTGGGGCTGGCCTGAAGCAGCCGCTCCATTTGGTCCCAAAGGTGTAAATGTCGCATCACAAAGAGGAGAGTAGCACTCTGCTCTGCCCCCTAGCATTGATGATTCCATTTACTTTGTTTAGCAATATAGTAAGAGCTTAATAAAAACTTATGAACTGACTTTGCAGACCATCTGTTATCAGGATCATGGATTGGAGTGAGATGTGCCCTTAGAGGTCATCCAGTGTCTTCACTTTATGGATGAGGAAACCAAGGCCCCAGAAGTGAAGTGTCTTGCCCATTGTCACACTGCTTAATTAATTGAGCTAGGATTTGAGCCCAGACCTTGTGACTCCATATCCAACACTTCCCAGTTCTCTCAATGTAGCTCAGACCCACTAGCTTCTACTGTTCTAAATCCAAAAATTGATGGGGATTCCAGGGTTCCTTTCTCCTCCAGAATCCTTCCTCATAGGTATAGTTCAGATATTTCATTCAAGAAGAATTCCAGATGGCTTAGAATATGCAGGGAGCAGAGCTGTGGGAGAGAATTCTTTGAAAGAAGAAGGAAAAAAATGTTTCTAGAGCATTCTCAATATCTTTTTGTGATGTTTGGAATCTGTCACTTTCTTTTCTTTCAAGCCTGACCAAATCAGGTCCCAAAATGTCCCCAGGAAGTTCCCTGACAAGCATAACTTGGCCTTTAAGGGATGTGCATTTTTGTCACAATGTTAAGTTTTGGTTTAATCTAAATATTTTCAGTAACCCAGCTTGAGGATAGGGAGAGTTTCACAGACTCTCTGAGCTGGCAAGGACCTCAGTGGCCATTCAGCACTCATGTATGGAAAAAAGCACACCCACTCAACACTCTATCCACCAAATGATCATCGAGGCTTTTGGCTTTAAGACCTCCAGGCAGAGAGAACCTATTACTTTCCGAAGTAGCCCATCTGCTTGGGGTTCACTCTCATCTTTAAGGTTTTTTAGCTTCTCTCCATTAACGGTTCCTTGGCCTGTTCTCTGAGGCTAAGCAGAGCAACACCTGTCTCTCTTGACCAAACTTCAGAGACTTAAATACACCCTACCTAAAACAAATATCCTTGAGGGATCCTTCCTCAGAATCTGGGAGCTCCAGAAGTAGGGTGTTGTGGCCCTCAATTACTAAGCATCTCAGGCTGAGTGCCTTTCCCAAGGCAGTCAGGGGCAGCCACAGTGCACAAGAGTGCTGATCCTGGCCTCAGGAAGACCTGAGTTCAAATCTAGCCTCAAATACTGATTAGCTATGTGCCCTGGGCAAGTCACCTTACCTCTGTGTGCCTCAGTTTCTTGAACTGTGAAATAGGGAGACTAGCAGTAGCTATCTCACGAGATTGCTGTGAGGATCAAATGAGATGGTGTTTGTAAAAAGCCCTTGGCACAGTGCTTGGCATATAGTACATGCTATAGAAATGCTTGTTCTATTCCCTTTCCTTTCCCTTCCTTCAGATAGAGGGTTATATTTGCACATGCTAGGGAAGAACAAAGATAGGAAGGAGGAAAAAAATTCTGATGATGAGATGTTGGCAGTCATATCTTTGTATCCAACAATTACATTGTCATGAATTCAGCTCCCAACAAAAGCAATTTAGAAATTAGGCTGCAGTTTTTTTTCTTGGTCTGGTTAAAGGACCTTTTTTGAAACTGACCGATTAGTCCAGATCCCCTTCAGAAAGTTTTTTAAAAAAACTCCTATTCTTCTGTCCTTCCATGTGTCCAAAGTCTGATTTTCTTGGGAAGTTGAATGTTGCACTCATCATTTCTGTGTGTGTGCTGGGTGTTGTAGTGAATGTGCCTTTGCTGCTATTGCTGCTGCCTCTCATTCAAATCTTGGGAAATGTTTAGAAGAATGTGTAGAATTCTGTCTCTAATATAAAGCTTTAGCTTTCAAAAAATGATTCTGAATTTTCCTTACTAAATTCTGTAATAACCCACCTCTCTAAGCCCGTCTTATTTCTTGCAGATGAATGATGCTATGGGATTTGAGTTACCCTGGGTCTATTTTGTCAGTCTCGTCATCTTTGGGTCATTTTTCGTACTAAATCTTGTACTTGGTGTATTGAGCGGGTAAGCGACACCTCTTTCATCATGAAAGCAGAGTCCCAAGGATAGTTGCCAAGACCACACAGGCATTGCTAAGTAGGGGCCATATCAAGTGGAGCTTTCAGATAAGGTGCCACATCCAGCAAATTAGACAGTATGTGAATATAGAGTAAATGGTGTGTCTGCCTTCTCTCATTCTATCTAGACTGAAATTCTTGAGTTTTTTCAAAGGAAAACTGCCTTTCTCTGACATTTAGGAAGGCAAAGTTATAAAAAAGATAATTGACTGAAATGTATTAACAATGTAGTTCATAATTGAAGTTTTATCCATTGCCTTTCCTTTCTAACTTTATAAAATGAATAGCTTAGTAACCATTCTGTCCCTTCAACCAAAAGGGGCTGGGGGGTGCCAACTTCTTGTTTCCCCATCGTCTCGTTTTCAGGAGCAGAAGTGGCTTTATTAGGAAAGATTCTGAGAGGCCTAGCCCAGCCTTGGCTGGTGGAGGGAATGCCTGAGGGGTGTGGCAGCTGCAGCTGGGGCTCTGCTCTTTAGTGACTGGATAACTTGTAACCAATTTCCTTACGTTTTACAGGTAAATGATGCAATAGGATGGGAATGGCCATGGGTGTATTTTGTTAGTCTGATCATCCTTGGCTCATTTTTCGTCCTTAACCTGGTTCTTGGTGTGCTTAGTGGGTAAGCAGCCCGATTATTGTTGCATACGCCCCTGAGCAGCGTGGGAGTGGCCCTTTGGAGTCTTCCAGCTGCTCAGCGGTGGCTTCTCTGCATGCCTTTTGGATTCTTTTGTCACCTCTTCCAGTGTGATGCTTTGGGATTGAGATGTGGTCCCTCTGCCTGTATCTGTCTGTGTGACCTTGTGTGTTAACAGCATTTGCCAGACACTATTGATTATATGAGGCATTAATCACCTCACCTTGAAAACTCACCTGTGTAGCCAGTCACAGCCTGGAATGATGGACTACAAGTGAGTAAGCTGGTTTTCTCCTCAATTGAGAAAAGGGATATTGCCCCCTTTGAGAAGTCAGGTGGGTAAGAGGAACCAGGTTTTTTAACATGACCCTATTATGGATCACAGATTACCCAGAATGCTTCTGGTTTTATTATGGAGGGGTAATGTGTTTGAGTTAGAGCGGAGCTGCCATACAGACCTCAGTTTATGAGTTGGTTTTCTCTTGCTGCTGATTCCCCTTCCCTTTCCCCTTTCCTTTCCTATCCTCTTTTCTGGTCCTCCCCTGCCCTTTCCCTCCAGTTTTCTTCTTTCTGCCTTTCCCCCCTCCATCACTCTCTTTCTTTCTACATACACTTTATTTTTCTCTTTTAAGATGCTGGGTGTAAGCACTTTTATCAGAGGTCTCTGTTTTTGAAATGTATCTCTATTTACCTTTGTGGTATTTAAGGCCATCTCCTCTATAGCCTGCCTGTCAGAGCTTCAAGACAGAGGGAGCCACCCACTAAATAGAGCATTGACTTGAAAGTGTGGGCCACATTGGAATCCATTCTTTATCATCACTTTTTGATATTGCAGCCATTGTTTTGTAGATAGGGGAGCCTTCCTCCTTATCATACTGGTGTTGAAGACTGATATTTAATAACCACACAATCTTTCCCAGTCCTTAAAGGCAGCTGCTGTCTGTGCTGCCTGCAGCCATTATCATAGCTGCAGAAAAACTCCCATAAGCTGAGAATCCAGAGTCTGTAGAGTCTGGCTTAGGGAGCCTGGTTTATTTTCTTCCCATGTTGTTGTTTACTAGTTGGTGCCTCTCATTTTGGGGTAGTTAGTATATAGATTTGCTTTCTTTCTGAGCCTCAGTTTCCTCATCTTTAAAACAACGCTTATCATCACCATGGATTGTAAGTGCCAGCATTGGTGTACGTGAAAGTCCTTTGTGCAGTATCAAGTGCTGCTGTCCATGCTGAAAGCCTTCTCTTGGGATCTCCCTGCAAAGACTCCAATATCGTTTAGCCCTTTGTCCCTGACAGTGCTCCCAATTCTGGTCTTAATTAGTTTTTCTGGATCTCCCATATTGCCTAATGTCTTTTAATATCCATTGCCCTCTGCAAGGTCACTAGCTTTTTTAGCCATAAAGATCACATGTGGAACTAATTAATCTTCCTAAGAAACAAAATGTATGGAGAGGGAGAAGAACTTTCCCGGGTCAGACCCAGAGCACATATAGCATATGATTCTCTTTCTAGGGGACGGAAGGTGGTAAGATAAGAGATGCTTCCCTGTTTTTAGTCTTAGTTTGTGTATCTGACCACCCCCAACTTGTCTCCATGGCCTGTTATGGTTCTGTCCTGTGTCAATTAGCCCAAACCTTGCTTCTCCTCCCTACTGTTATCACTGTGAGGGCAGCCTGAGGCTGAAGGAAGAGATAACAATGCTGGCTATGAACTTGGAGCACCTGGGGTCTAGAATCCTGTCCCTGGGACCTTGGGCTAGTCATTTCCACCTTTTGGGTTAACCCTAAAGGAGGGGCTTGGATGACGTGAGCTCTCGAGGTGTCTTCCAGTTCTCAGTCCCAGAATCTGGATCTGGTCTCCTCTGAGGACACCCAACTGGGTGCGCAGCAGACGCTCTTTGGTTGGCTAATCTGTCTAGTCTGTTTTCCTACGAGTATCTTAAGAAAACAAATTTTCGTTTTTCCTAAGCAGCTCATTTGCCCAAACTTGGCCTTTTCCTGTATCTAGTCACAGCAGAAAGAAAAACCAAGTAATTCATCATTTCCTTTCATCATTTCTCTCCTAGTAGTCCATATCTTCCTCAAGATACTGGAGAACATTTTTAAAAATTCTTATGACAGGTTTTCTGACTTGAGCACTGTATATTTATAGTATACTATTAGTGCAGGAAGGGGCTGGAGACATCACACAGTCCAATATCTTAACTTTATATACCAGGAAACAGGAATCCCAAGAAGGAAAGTTCCTCCACTCACCGTGGCAGAGGTGGGACCCAGGTATCACTTATAGTCCCTTGTTCTTTGGCAGCTAGGAGGCCCCACAGTGCATGGAGCACTGGGCCTGGAGTCAGGAAGATCTGAGTTCAAATCCTGCCTTTGATACTTACTGGCAGCGTAGACAAGCTGTTCAGCTTTTCTCAGCCTCAGTTTCCTCATCTGTAAAATGGGGGAAATTGCTGCACCTACCTCCTAGGGTTCCTATGAAGGTGAAATGAGATAATATGTATAAAGTGCTTTGCAAACATTAAAGTGCCGTAGAAGTGACAAGATTTTATTATTGTTTCCACTGCTACATCCAATTGCCCAAGCAAGTACTTTTCACTGAAGTATTTTTTGCTAAGCATCTTTTACTTTTTCTTCACATTTTTAGAACCTTTGTATATTTAAATGATTCTATGGAATAAATTTGATTCCCAGGAGGGGGAAAATTACCTTTATTTCACAGCTATAATTGCCCGATAATTCTGTGTATAAACTATTTAGCCTCTGACCCTCACATTCAAAGAGACAGTGATGAGGGGGCAGCTGTAAACTGGACACTAACTGCTGCGTTTTAAAATGTTGGCCATGAGCCTTCTCCTTGGGCTTTCTTGCTGCTCTGCATGACTATTCCTCGTTCCATTGCTAAGCACAGCCCCCAAAGGGGTGTGCCTCCAGACTTCAGCTGACAGAAAAATGACCCTTGTCATAAAGAATTTCCCAAGATACAGGGCCTTTGTTTGTATCACTAAAGTAAAGACCTGCCGACTTTACTAAGCTGTGGTTCCAAGCCCTTTAGGAAGGATGGTGTGAAATTGTTATCTGGTGTCACGCTTCCTCTCCTCTCCCAAGGAAGTGTTATGTCACATAGATTTATTTTTCATAAATTATAAGCTCATAGACTTCTTTAGAACTAGATACAATTGTAGGCATTATCTTGCATGACCTCCTTGTTTCATAGATGAGGCAACTCAGACCCAGACTGGTGAAATACTCAAAGTCTTGCAGATAGTAATTTGCAGAATCTGGATTTGAATACAAACCCTCGGGCTCCCAAGCAGAGCCCTTTCCACTATACTCTGGTGGCCCTCAATTCAGTATGTTTTGCTTTGATAGTTACATCATTTTTCAATAATTAGGAACTACTAGAGGGATTTAAAACCCAATATTGGCAATCACTAGTTTGGTATTTATCAAAAAGAACCCAGCTGTGATGGCTGCACAAGTGCCTCAGTTGGAGGGCATCAGATGAGCACAAACCAGGGCCCCCAGGTAAAGCCCAGGGTGTGGCCACACACAGACCCTCTAGACAGCAGGCTCAAAACTATGGTGTCCTGCTTTTTCCAGTGATGGCTGTTGTGACACTGAGTGATGTGGTGTGTGCTTTGGCCTCTGTTCACTGTTGTACAAAATGCATTTATTCTTCCTGCCTCTTTTTGTTGCCGTGTGACCATTCCATGCCCTCTCCCTCTCTCTGACTGCCTTCGTCTTGTGCACTGCATGTTGGAGGTGTGATCTGGATTTTTTTGTTATGTCCTGAGACTGCTGATTTGGAGGGATTTTGGTTTTATATCAGATCGAGTTTTAAGGTGAGTGACATGCCTTAAAAACTTAGACTGAGTCTGCACAAGTAACCAAACAGAAACACTGACTGATGCCTCAAGGAGAGCCTTGAGGAGATGCTAGAACAGATTCACAGGAGGAGCTGTGAGGCTGTGGACTTTCGTTGCAATTTTTCATCAAGTCAGCAAGAGATGTTTCTTATGCCCAGGAATTGCAAACCATATAGGATATTAGTCAATAGCTAGGACAGTTTATGTTTCACTTTCTTAAATCAGCATTTTGGAAGCTTTGTGGTTATTGTCATTTAAACTCTAGATCTTATTTACACTTAAAAAATGTTATTGATGTGTTTTGTTTTTACGTGGCCTATGTTTACTGCATTATCCTCCCCTCCCCCATCCTCACCTCTGTCCCATCTATCCCATGTAACAAAAAAAAAACAAAAACATACCTTATTTTAAAGTGAATGATGAAATTCTGACTTAACTCCTTCTAACTACTTTTGGCAACACTAAAGTAGACACAATAAGAGAGGACAGTGGCTTGCCAATGCTCAACATCTCGACTGTGTTCCAGGAACGTCAGCATGATGACCATCTGAACCTGTGTCTGCCCTGGAACACCAGGGAAACACATTAACTTTCAATCACAGCCTTGGGTCACTGGTGAATAGATATAATCACATAATTAGTAGTTTGACTTAATAGAAGGGGCTTGTGACTAATTATTAGGAATACCAGCTAATTCAGTGGCATGACTAGTCCCTTAATCTCTTTTATATATTTATAAAATGGAGACAGTACTTATTCCTTTAACTCCATTTCTATGCAAAGATTAAGAAGTGTAGTGAATTGTGATTTTTGTCAAACTAAGATGAAGGAATTCACATATAAGGAAAATCTCCCTAATTCAGAGTAATAGGGGAGTGTGTGTGTGTGTGTGTGTGTGTGTATAAAAGGCAGAACTATAAGATATCTTAAAAGAAATATCACTCAGTAAACGTCAAAGGTTTAAATGACATGGACCCTACCTTCGGCATCGGACGCATACACACAGATAATCACAGTACAAAGGAAGGAGTGAAAGAAGCAAGAGAGAAATCCTGAAAAAGGCCTTCAGGCTTGCCAGGCAGCAATAAGGGCCCAGATTTGTTGTTTGATGAGGATTTGT